CTAATTTTTGCAATTTCTCCCAATATATTCATTTTGCATGTTGTTTTTCACTAATATATTACTTTTATCCACAGTGCCCAGCAACATACACATTTTGTCAACATTGGTGGGAGAACATCATCACAAAATTCAGATAAGTGTGAATTTTGACAGATATTTTGATTTGCATATTGTTTCAGAAAGTATGAATTTGATAAGGACCACTGGTATGAAGTTTACGGCATGTAATGCCTTAAAAGAGAATTTAATGAAAATGATTTACAGGTGGTACATAACACCAGTCAAGCTTGCAAAAATTTACCATTTGCCCGATAATAAATGTTGGAAATGTAATGAAACTGAAGGTACATTCTTTCACCTTTGGTGGACATGCCCAAGGATTAAGGCATTCTGGGAGATGATTTATAATGAAATGAAAAAGGTATTTAAATACACCTTTCTAAAGAAACCAGAGGCCTTTCTCCTGGGCATGGTAGACCAATTGGTGCCAAAGAAGGACAGAATTTTTTCATGTACGCTACAACAGCAGCAAGAATACTTATCGCAAAGCACTGGAAGACACAAGATCTACCTACCAAGGAAGAATGGCAGATGAAGCTGATGGACTACATGGAACTGGCGGAAATGACTGGCCGAATCCGAGACCAGGGAGAAGAGTTGGTGGAAGAAGACTGGAAAAAATTTAAAGTATATTTACAGAAATATTGTAAAATTAATGAATGTTAGAAGGATGCTGGAAAGAAGTTATACGACTTTAGTTGAAATGTTATAAAGAATTAAGTATGAATAGACTGACAATGGGTAAAGGTTAAACTTAAGGTTAAATTGCATTAAGATAAATTATGGAACTAAATTTGAGAAAGAGGGAAAGGACTTGCTGGAACAATCAATTGAACTAGAATACAAAAAAGGAGGTGTGAGGAAGTCGAGGAAATAAGCAAATGAAAGATAAGGATGAAAATACGGGGTCTTTCTTTTTCCTTTTTTTTTTCTTTTCCTTCTATTTTTTTTTTAAGGTGTGTGTTTTTTAAATGTTTCTGTTTTTTCTGTTTTAATGTTTTGATGTACTGTTGATGTTTTGTATTATTGTATTTCCTTTTGTTTTTGAGGTTTTGCAATTGTCTATTGCTTGTATTCCTTTTTTTCTTTTTTTCTCTTTTTGTAATACTTAAACTCTAATAAATATCTTTTTTTAAAAAAAAAGTATGAATTTGATAAGATTCATTTTTAAATGTGAACTCAATTGAATTTCCTCCCCATCACAAACAGAAGACGTTTGCCTCTTCGGTTATCTATGCTAATCATTTAGATGAGGGCAGGGGCAGAAGTGCGGTCCTGTTCTTCCTCCTAATTAGTAGTAGTAGTAGTATACTGTCCTTCATCATAAGATCACAGGGCATCCAAAACATAAAAGAACAAAATGAGAACATAAAATGCAAAATAAAACATGAACAAGAACAAACCAATAATCCCCTGCCCCCACAAACACATTTTAAAAGACATACAGTAGAATGTTAGCCAAAAGCCTGGGAAAAGAGGAATGTTTTTGCCTGGCGCCTAAAGATCTGTACCAAAGGCACCAGGTGAGTCTCCCTAGGGAGAGCATTCCACAAGGGGGGACACCGCAGAAATGGCCCCTTCTCATGTTGCTGTCCTCCAGACCTTTTGCAGAGGAGGCACATGAAGAAGGGCCTCAGATGATTGCAGGGTCCGGGTAGGTTCACATGGGGAGAGGCATTGAAATTGAGTCGAGAGTGGATTTCATGCTGTTTATTCAGCTCATAGTGGTGAGGAGGAATGAAAGTCCCCCCCAAGTATTTGCTTTATATACATTATTTACACAATGGACTGCGTGTGATTGGCTAATCAGACTGCTGCATTTTGGATCCTGTTATGTATTGAGTTGAATAGGATCCAAAATGCAGCAGTCTGGTCCTAGAACAATAGGATTCAGAATGCAGCAGTTTGATTGGTCCTAGAACAATGCAGCAGTATGATTGGTCGGCAGGAGCCACCCAATCCAGCTCCAGATAGAAGTGAATCCACAACCTGATTGGTCTTCAGGAGAATTCCGGAATTAGTCAATCACGTGCAGCCCACTGTGTAAATAATGTACCATATTTTTCGCACCATAGGACGCACTTTTTCCCTCCTAAAAGCAAGGGAAAATGTCTGTGCATCCTATGGAGCGAATGCAGGGGAGGCAGGCAGGAAAAGCCCCCAAGAGCCGCACACAAGCTCTGTGCGCTCTTGCGGGCTTTTCCACAGGAGGAGAAGGGACTGACTGGCCGCATCAGTCCCTTCTCCCACCTCCCAGAAAAGCCAGGAGTAGCCGTGATCTCTTTAAAGGGGTTGCGTGGCTTCTGCTGGCTTTGGGAGAGGTGAGGGAATCAACCACCTCCCAGGAAAGCCAGGAGAAGCCCTGCGCAGCATCTCCCAGCAAGGAGAGGCTGCACAGGGCTAAAGGGGAAGCCAAAACAGCAAGCGGGATCCATCCCGCTCACTGCCTTGGCTTGCTCCATAGCTGTGTGCAACCCCTCCGGCAAGGAGAGGGGGCTCGGGGCTAACGCGGCAGCCAAAACAGCCAGCGGGCTCCCTCCCGCTCTCTGCCTTGGCTTGTGCCATAGCCGCGCGCAACCCCTCCGGCAGGGAGAGGTTGTGCGCAGCCTGTACGCTGCTCTTTGGGGCTGGGGGGGAAAAAGATTTTTTTTCTTGATTTCCCCCACTAAAAACTGGGTGCGCCCTATGGTCTGGTGCGCCCTATGGTGCGAAAAATACGGTATATAAAGCAGATACTTTGAGGGGACTTCCATTCCCTCCTCACCACTATGAGCTGAATAAAGAGCATGAAATCCACTCTTGACTCTGAGTATATTTCAGATCCTATTGTTCTAGGACCAATCAGACTGCTGCATTTTGGATCCTATTCAACTCAGTACATAACACCCCTCCCCTCTAAGTTCCAGTGCTGCCCAGGAGGTCGCATTCATAGTCCTCAAGGTACGCCAGCGGCCTACATGTGCGTTGCGGCCTGGGGTGTTCCCTGGTCCGGGGTTCAGGTTCTGGCTCGTGTTCAAAGGATGCTGGCTGTGATGGGGCCGTTTGGTCTGGCGCAACCGGCTCACTCAGTCGTGGTTCTGGTTCCGGTGTCCTTTCGGCCTCATGGGTCCTCTCTGTATTTACTGATTCTGCCTTTCCTGCTGGCCCCTCCTGTTCTACGGGCCTCACTGCCCCACTGCCCCGCTGTTCCCTTGGGACTCCTCTGACCTGTCCTCCTCCTGGTTTTCTCCCGGGAATCGTCACCGTATCTGGTTGCAGTGGCGGCGCCAGCATTGCCCCCCATCCATTAGCACCTCGTACGACACGGGGCCAGTGACCCTGGTGACTGTGGCGGGTACCCATGCTGGGCCTGCCCCAAAATTCTTTGCGTACACTGGGTCCTGGGCCTCGAAGGTCCGGGGTTTCCTGCCTTCCCCCACCACTACCTCATCCTGAGCTCTATCAGGGTGAAGGCGGTCCAATCTGATTGCAAGGCGCCGACCCATTAGTAGTTCAGCGGGGCTCCGGCCAGTCGTTGAGCTGGGGGTGCTGTGCTGTGCTAAAAGGAATGTGGCAAGGCGGTACTCCCAGTCCCCTTGCGTCATGCGGCGAAGGGTGTCCTTGGTGGTCCACACCATGCGTTCTGCTTGGCCATTGGTGGCAGGGTGGAATGGCGCCGAGTGGATGTGGCGGATGGCATTGTGCGTTGTGAAGGTTTGGAATTCTCCTAACGTAAATGCGGTCCCGTTGTCTGAGACGAGAGTGTCAGGGAGCCCGTGGGTTGCAAACAGCCTGCGGTAGTACCTGGATGGCTGCGGACGTGGAAGTGGACGGTACCAGTGTGACTTCCAGCCATTTGGTGTAGGAGTCCACCACTATGAAGAATGTTTTCCCCTGAAAGGGGCCAGCGAAGTCCACATGCAGGCGTGACCATGGTGCTCGGGCGGACTCCCAGGACTGGACTGGGGTCCTTGGGGGATCTGGGTGGGATTCTTGGCAGGCCTGGCAGTGTTTGACCCAGGCCTCCCTCTATCCGTCAATCCCCGGCCACCACACATAACTCCTGGCAAGGGCCTTCATTCTCACTACCCCTGGGTGTGTCTTGTGTAGCGCTGTGAGGACCCTTTTGTGGAGGGGCTAGGGAACAACGACCATAACAGGCACCCCTTGTGGGCCGACAGTTCATGTTTGCGGGTTGTGTAGCCGGCGAATTCTGGCCTGGGGCTGCTGCTGGGCCATCCCCTCCACACCCAGTCCAGGACCCGGGAGACGACCCTATCTTTCTTGGAATGATGTGTAACTTCTTGTGCCTGAATGGGGTGGTCGGGAAGCAGCTCCAGGCTCATAACCTCTTGCGCGGGTGCTGGGTCAGGGCCTGTTTCTGGTAGTGGTAGCCTGCTGAGGGCGTCCGCGTGGCCCATCACCTTCCCAGGGCGGTGAATCAGTGCATACTGGTAGCTGGCAAGGAAAATTGACCACCTGAGGACGCGAGGAGACAGCACTTGGGGGGTCTGCTTTTTGGGGGCAAACAAGCCAAGCGACGGCTTGTGGTCAGTCACCACAGTAAAGGGCCGCCCGTACAAGAAATCATGAATTTTTTTTACTTCCTTCACAATTGCCAGACCCTCCTTGTCGATTTGCGAGTAGTTCCGCTCGGTTGCGTTGAGTGTCTGGGAAAAGTATGCCACCGGCACCTCTCTTCCATCTGGGAGTTGGTGTCCCAGGACAGTGCCGATGCCATAGGGTGAGGCGTCGCATGCTAGCACCACCGGCAGCCTCTCGTTGAAGTGTGCCAAGACCGAGTTTGAGACAAGCAAGTCCTTGACTGCCTGGAATGCGGCCTCCTGGCGCTGGCCCCACACCCAAGGGGTCCGCTTGTCCAGGAGTCTGTGTAGGGGCTCTGCTACCGCCGCCTTGTGAGGAAGGAAGGAATGGTAAAAGTTCAATAGTCCCAAGAAGGCCTGAAGTTCAGTCTTGCTCTTGGGCGCTGGGGCATCACAAATGGCCCGTACCTTGTCCCCCATCGGGTGGACCCCTTCTGCATCCACCATAAATCCCAGAAAGTCCACCTGAGGTACTCCTAGTAGACATTTTTCCTGCTTCACCTTGAGACCCGCCGTCTGGAAATGGTGCAGAACGGTGCAGAGGAGTTCCTCAAACTCCTCTGGCGTGGGCCCAGCAATCAACACATCATCGAAGAAGGGGGTGACACCAGGAATCCCTTTAAGGAGAGAGTCCATTAGATTCTGGAATATGCCTGGTGCCACACTGACACCGAGTTACAGCTGCTTTACCCTGAACGCTCCTTTGTGCGTCACAATCGTATGTGCCTCTGCTGTGGCCTCATCTACCGGCAGCTGTTGATATGCTTGGGCCAAGTCCAGCTTCCCAAAATTTTTTGACCCAGCCAGGGTGGCAAGGACATGGCTGACCACTGGCACTGGGTATGCGTGGGCCATGAGGGCCTTGTTTATGGTACATTTGTAGTCTGCGCAGATGCGGACTGAACCATTAGGCTTGACGGGTGTGACGATTGGGGTTTCCCAGGGGGCATTAGGCACCGGCTCCAGCACTCCTTGCTCCACGAGCCGGTCCAATTCCTCGTCTATACGGGGTTTCAGGGCGAACGGGACCCGGCGGGCCTTGAGCCTGACAGGTTGTACTGCGGGGTCAAGCTGTAGAGCAACAGGGGGCCCTGTATATTGTCCCAATTTCCCATTGAACCCCCCCCCGGAAATTCCTTGCATATGGTGTCCACGTCCACTTGTAAGCTAAAGCGGTTCACCCCGGTGACGGCTAGCCCCAGTGGTCCAAACCATGCCAATCCCAGTAAGCTAATGTAGGGGCCCTTGACCACAAGCAAGTGGTCACCCCCATTGTGGGGGGTGGGGGGGTCACCCCCACCCCCATTGCGGGGACCTTACGTTTCTGGAAGTCCTGGAGGTTGAATGGGGCCAGCCGGAGTTTGGGACCCCCACTAGGACACAGTTTCTTTAAGGTCCTTGCTGAGATTATGGATAGAGTTGAACCCGTGTCCAGCTCCATGTGGCACGGGGCCCCTCTATCTGTACTTCTACATAAATTTTCTCTACGTTGGGGTGGGGCAACTGATATACCTGGAAGTCCGTGAGCTCCGTCGAGTTGCCTTGGTGCGTTGGGCCCCGGGACCTGGGGCTCTTGGATTGGTTATCGGATGCCTGGCGTCGGGTGGGCCGAGCCTGACACACCCGGGTGATGTGTCCAGATTTTCTGCACTGCCTGCATTCTGTGTTGCGGAAACGACAGGTCCTCCTCTCGTGACTCTCCCCGCAGCTTGCGCAGTTCCCCCCTTCTCGTTGAGGTAGCTGTGGTCTGTGAGCTGCTTGAGTGCGCTGCTGTACTCGGTGCACCTCCTCCCTGTCGGATCCTGAGTCGTCGGTGAGGTCTTTGTGGTGGACCCTTGGTTGGGACGGCAGGCTTGGTCGTGCCTCTTGCGTCGACCTCTCAGCAGCTTCTGTTGCCAGGGCCTCCTCCAGAGCAACCTGGAATGTTAGGTTTTTCTTAGCATAGAGGTGTCGTTGCAGCTTCTCATCCTTCAGGCCACCGACGAGGCGGTCACAAAGCATGTTTTCTCCAACTCTGAGAAGCTGCAGAACCGGGCGGCTTGGCGGAGAGAGGTCACAAACCCAGTTATGGTTCCCCAGGGGCTTGCCGCTTTGCGTAGAAGGCATTTCGACGAGCCACCACTGAGGGCTGTGGCGAAAAGTACCCCTTCAGCTGTTCCATTATTGTTTTGTATGGAACAGTAGCGACGTCTTCAGGCGCAAGGAGAGCCCAGGCGATTTCAAACGTCTCCTCTCCGCAGACGCTGAAGAATATCGCCCTCTTCTTGGCGTCTTCTTTGTCGGTGACCCTTTGGCTTCTAGGAGGAAGGTGAAACGGGAGGCATACGCTTCCTAGTCTCCGGATGCTGGGTTGAACGGCGAGAAGCTGCTGTCATTTGCCATTCTGAGTTCCTTGGGTCCCGGAGCTGAAGCCTGGATACACGGTGCGAGGCAGCGGTGCGGAAGGTGGCGGTGCTGCGGTACTGTGTGTGGTGGTCAGCTCAGCGGGATCCCACCTTCGTCGCCAGTGAAATATACTCAGAGTCGAGAGTGGATTTCATGCTCTTTATTCAGCTCATAGTGGTGAGGAGGAATGAAAGTCCCCTCAAAGTATCTGCTTTATATACATTATTTACACAATGGGCTGCGCGTGATTGGCTAATTCCGGAATTCTCCTGTAGGCCAATCATGTTGTTAATTCACTTCCATCTGGAGCCGGATTGGGTGGCTCCTGCAGACCAGTCATACTGCTGCATTGTTCTAGGACCAATCAGACTGCTGCATTCTGAATCCTATTGTTCTAGGGCCAATCAGACTGCTGCATTTTGGATCCTATTGTTCTAGGACCAATCAGACTGCTGCATTTTGGATCCTATTCAACTCAGTACATAACAGGCATCCTTGAGGTATTGCAGTCCTGAGCCATTTAAGGCTTTATAGGTCAAAATTCCAGATAATCCCACTCAGCAGTTTCATGTAGATGTTAAACAGCCTAGGGGATAAAATTGAACCCAGAGGAAGCCCACATTGAAGGCTCCACAGTAGGTAGTTAGATTTTCTGAATCCAGGGAGGGTTTCTCATGGAATAGTTTTACCACTGCTTCCTTCAAGCAGACAGGAACCACCCCCTCTCGTAAAGAGGCATTCGTCACCTCCCTGGCCCAGCCTGTTGTCCCCCCCAGTAGCTTTTAACATCCAAGTGGTCGTCCTGGCTGATCCACGCCCCTTGGCTGCAAATATGCATGGGGGGTGCGTGCTGCCAAACTGGGTCTTTGACCCAGGTGAAATAAAGTCTAGTTTTATCCCTGTATACCGTGGCTGACAGAAGAATCCTGCTCATTTTCAGAAAAGCGCACTGGCAGATCACCAAAAGAAACAGCCAAGATTTCCCCACCCCCACACCGGCCATAGTTAATGCATCTTGAATTGAAGTTTTGTCCCCCCCCCCCCTTATCTACAGCTGAGCTTGTGGTTCTCATCCTGACCTTATGAATGTTTTTGCTAAACTGCAGACGGGAGAAAGAAAGGGGATTTTTGTTTCCCTTGGAGCTTTGCAGATCTCCTGGTATAACAATCTGTGTAATTAGTTTCATTCTGTTTTTGCTGCAAATTGTAATAAGGCAGAAGCAAGCTGGGAACTTCTCTCCTGTTTCATGTTGTGACGGTCAGGCTTGAGCTGGATATTTTTAATAATGATGGTGAATTTGCTTTCCCTCCTTTGATTTTTTAAAAAATTCTATCACCTTCCCTGAGCTCTTCAAAGTGTAAACGTTCTGTAAAATATGAATCTAACATTCTCCTGTCTGAATGTTCCTTTTTTGTTATTTGTCTTTAATACTTTCATGCCAATGGTATGTATGCTTACAGACACACACACACACACACACACACACACTGCATTCATGAAGGGGGCACAACAATTCTTTTTGGCATCATGGTAGCACAGCACTCATATGTACAGTCATTTAAAAGAAAAACCCACCAACAACTTAATTTTAAGAATGTTTTTAAACATGACAGAGAGGGGAAGCTGGAGCATGGGCTAAACTAGGATTGCCATACATCCAGGTTTTCCCAGACATTCCTTCTTTTTGGGAGTCAGCATGCCCATCTGGGCAGATTTTTGCATTTTAAATGACGTGTCTGGGCTTGGGGTATGTATGTATGTATTTTTATTACTACTACTACTATTGCTGCTGCATAATTTATTAGTGGTATTTTTATGTGTACACTATACGTTGGGCTTGAAATTTGTTTTTGTTTTGCATGTAAAAGGAGAGGTAGTAGAATGGGAACAGTTTTTGTGACGACAGAACATCTCAAGTTGTGTCTGCAGCTTATATCACTTGAATGTTCTTCTCAACCGCAGATTAAGCGTGTTAAAGTGATGCCCCAATGCTGATGGTGGGGGTTTTTGATGATGAAAAACATGCATTGCAGGCTAAACTTTCAAAACTGCACATAGAATAAGGTTGTATTTTAGCATATAATGTTAAAAAAAGGTAAAGGACCTGTGCGGTTCTATTAACTGATGATACTGCAGTACATTTCTGTACTGATAAATGTATTTCCAATTCAGCAATTTGAACGAATGTGCTCCCGGTATGCCTCAAGGTCCATAGATAGCAACACCCCAGTGGTCCTGGGCCCTAAGGAAGTCAGATTAGCCTCAACCAGAGCCAGGGCCTTTTCAACTCTGGCTCCGGCCTGGTGGAACGCTCTGTCTCATGAGACCAGGGCCCTGCAGGATCTGATTTCTTTCTGCAGGGCCTGTAAGACAGAGTTGTTCCGCCTGGCCTTTCGCTTGGAGCCAATTTGATTCCCTCCCCCCTCTTTTTTCCTTTTTCCTTTCTCCTCCTGTGATGAGGCTGCATTTTAATATTTTAATGTTTCAATATTTTAATTGTTGTATTTTAATTTTGTTTTTAAGTTGTATTCATTCAACTTGTTTTTATTATTGCTTGTTAGCCAACCTGAGCCCGGCCTTGGCTGGGGAGGGTGGGGTATAAATAAAAATTATTATAATTATTATTATTGTTACTTATATCTTTTTTTTTTTGCAAAATCAAAACTCAGATTCACTGGGAGGTTTATTTTTACAGCTTCTACTGACTCCCAGTACATTGCCAGATGTATATACAGAGTCAAATGATCATAAGCGTTGGAAGGGGTCTTCAAAACAGTCTAGTCCCACCTGTGCTGCATGCAGAAAATCCAGAGCTGTAACATCACACCCACACCAGCCTCTGCATGAAGCCTTTGAGTGAGAAAGGACGGGGTGCAGAGCATCAGGCATGTGAGCCTAATTAGGCCCGACGGGAGTCTTGAATTTGACTTCATAATGTCATTTCGTTTTTTGGTTTTTTTCCCCGTGCGCTGCTCTGGTTCGTCAGAAGCGGCTTATTCAAGCTGGCCACATGGCCCAGAAGCTGTCTGCGGACAAACGCCGGCTCCCTCAGCTTGAAAATGATATGAGCGCCGCAACCCCAGAGTCATCCATGACTGGACCTAACGGTCAGGGGTCCCTTTACCTTTACCTTTAATGTCACTTCAGGTGAAAGACAGATAAAGGTGCAGCCTTCACTTTGAAGTGTATTTCCAGACAGTTTCAAAAGAAACCACTTGGAAACTCACTTCAAAGGCATCATCAGCTGATATAATTATGATGTCAGGTGACTGATATGGGAGGAAGAGAGATTCTTTTTCTCTAGTAGCAGAGTTAGCATAATGGCAATTGCTCCAAGCAGATTAAAACTTGCTTAGATTCACACCTGCCCTCATCCAGATGTTTCTCATAAAAATACCTAGGCTAGAATAAATCACAGACACTTAGCTTTGCAAATAAGTTACGATTTTTACTTTTAGGAGTTACAGCAAACAAGTCTCTTCCTGCTGGCAGTAAAATAAATAAGAAAAAAGTTTTTCAAAATAATTTGGTTTCCTTACAAAAAGGACCATGTAATTTTTTGGTTAGCAAAGACGCAGACTGTAAAAATCTCATTTTAGAGAGATTTTCCATTCACTTGGTTTTTCCATATGGTGGAAACCATGAAGCAACTTCAGCATGTTCCAGGATGCAGCAAAGGGGTGAGCAAAGGCTTCTGGGGGCCTGTTAAACTCCACCCACTCGAGCTAAGATCTCAGGTTAACCCTTTCACGCACACAAGTGTGAGTCAGTATCACAACAGTGACAGTATCACAACAGTATCACAACAACTGACAAGTGGGTGGCCCCAGGCCCGTGCAGAAATTGTCTGAGGCCCAGGGTAGGAGTCAATGGTTGGCTGAGAAGCACAGAGTGTTCTCCTGGCCAGCTTTACTCTCTGAGGCTGGGGCAAATGTGTCTGGCTGCCCCACTCTTTGCATGGGTTTGGGGGGCCCTGTCCCCCTGTCAAACATGGTTTGCAGGGCTTGTGGAAATAAGGAGCTTGGGCCACTGGGCTGAAAAGGTCCTCCAACCCTGCTCTAGATGTTTGCCTGCATTGCTGAACTGCTCTTTCTGTCAATACGTTTCGCTTAATGTTCCACGGAGATCTACTCCTGTTAATTAAGCCAATTAGATCTCATCCTGCCCTCTGAGGTACGTGAGAACAAGTGTTCTCTATTTAAATAGTAACAGTGATGTGGGCCTCGCTTGTTGAGAAATCAGTGTTGATTTCCCTGCTTTTCTTAGCAGCTCATGTAAAACTGATGACCTTGCAATTCTATGCGAATAGAAAGAAAAACTTTTCATTTTTACTCAGCTTGAGACACCAGTTTTGTTCTTGTGTTGAAATTTTGAAAACATGCAAACATCAAGGCCAATAAAAATGTTCGTGGAACTCCTTAGGAAGAACCAAGTTTGTAATTCATGCAAAAGTAGCCTGACTATCCATTTGGATAGTAGCTTAAAGTTAAAAGCATAAGTGGAATGGGTGAGGATAAAGACATCAGCCTTAGGAATCACAAAGGTTTTGCAGGCAATAGGAAAATTTACTGTTGTGTTTATGTCGTTGG